TTTAATGATATTTGCAGTTTTAAAGGCAAGGTTTGCCTCCCCTTACACAAATTACACACCGCCAAAGGCTATCATGATTATGATTGGTTAAAAGAAAACATGACCCATAGGCAAGATAACTTTCCTTCTAGGCTGGAGATATACTTGCTATTAACTATTCTGCACACGTGCACATGATACACCAGCAAGAACAACAATGGCCGAAAGTTTGGAGAGACAGAGCTCTGACAAACAATCATGGGAGATATAATCCCATTGTTTTAACTGTTGCTGCTGGTGTTTTTCTGCTCTCTCTTGGTTTTACAAGTTACTACCAAGCCTCTCCACTCACAGTTCACCTGTTGTGATAACAGAATTGTGAATGAAACGTTATGAAACAGAGGGACGCAATGATTGATATCAGCGAGGTCAAGACCTCGGTTTTGAAAAAAAAAAAAATTTGAACAGTACAATCGTTTCTTTCCATGCAATGATTTCCATGCATGCTGCTTGAAGTTATGTCATGCATCAGGCAGGTGAGAGTGAGTAACCATGGAGATTGTGTCTATCAATCAACATCTTTCCAAACCCTCTATGATATCATTCAATATCTTAGTAAAACTTACTTTGACTATGTGTCACAATAATCAAATTCTGGATTGTGTTTGATTATATTTTTGACGATCTATAAACTAAAGTAAATACAGTCATGTCATAAAAGACAACAGCCCTATGAATACGGCTATATGAATGAAGCTACAGTTGTAGGAATTCTGCAGGGCTAAAATAGAAACACAAGTACCCATGTCTTCAAATGAATGCATCACTGTATAAAAATGTAACCGCTAAACACAAATAGAATTAAAAACTAAAAACTGATGAAAAGATTTAAGGTTTCCAAGCTTGGAAGCTAAAATATGGCCAGATACAAGGGGTGGGAATCACCAGAGGCCACACGATATTATCATGATACTTGAGTCACGATCTATTACTGAGATTTTTTGCTCTATGCTGAGAATTGTGATACAACAAATTGTGATTTAACTTTTTAACTGCATGTTATGTCCACAAAATAAACAATTCTCAGTCTATTCCTCTCATTGCAGTCTTTTTATTTCTACACAATTGGAGTCAAGCCCACAGACTGACTGGCACTGTGATACAAGTAAAACCCTTTAAAAGGCTGCATGAACCTCACAATCTGAACTGGTGGTTTTTCAGTCTAATCGAACTTAACTGAAGACAAACATGTATGGACTACTGTACAATTGCAGTCATTTTTAACAATGCAAATGGTTCAAAATTATTTGTGCAACTTACAGTAATTAAAAAAGCATATCTGTATTTAATAAAATAAAAAATATTGATACTTGGCGGCCATGAATCGATACGATACTGTATCTGCTGCCCAATATATGTATCTAAAGGCCCTGACACACCAAGGAGATCGTCAGTGTTTTGTCTTAGTTGGACCGTCAGTTGGTCTTCGCCCTAGTGCAGTGTGTCCGGCTACGTTGATGCCCGTCTGCCTTTTTTTTGGCCGATTCGAACTGTTGAATCGCCGTTGGAGGTCAGTGAGAGGAATCTCTCTGATTGGCTGTTCGGAGGTGTCAAAATCTCCAGCTCTCGACACAAAAGCCCATTGAGCATGCCGCTGTAGTATGCTTTCACCCATTAGTGTGGCTTCTCCATATTTGTCGCCTCCGCGTCTTCTTTTCTTTTTCTACTAATACCATGGGCTGACAACGCCAGTAACAGTGCCATTTTAAACTTTTTATCAGACATTATTCTCGGTTAGTAGGCTACCTATAAGACGAGTGGTGCGCCACAGCGTTGTGAGATTGGACTTCTCATATAACAACAGACTACCGCCGCCTGTTGGCATGGAGAGTTATTTCCTCTCATGCATGCGCAGAACATAAGTGGTGGTTGGCTGTCAGCTGTAGTCTTTGCGGTGTGTTCTAGTGCAACCAAGGCCAAGATCTTGGTGTGTCAGGGCCTTTAGGATCGTTCAGTGGCAGTTGATCAGCTTGCAAACTTGTCAGTCTAGTATGTAAGCTCATCTAAGGTTAATGATTGGCATTTCAACAGTAAGGTCCCCTGGTAATCAGTGCAGGCTTTTAACAAAGCCCCTCTAACTGTAGACAGGAAGTGATGACGATCCAAACACAAACATGCCCCTGTTACACAAACCAGCTGCAGGCAGAGCAGAGGCAGGACATGAACATGAACCACAGAGATATTTATAGAAAAAGGGAGTTGCACTTTGACAGGGTGCCACCTCATTATATGTCCCATATAAAAACAATGCCTTAGTTATGTCATAACTGGCTGTAAGTGTGCTCTTTATTTTGTTACAGAAGTTTTAAAGTGCAGGGAAACACAAATTATCAAACATTCAGGCAATCACCTAGACTTACAAAATGCCTCCCAGTGAGAAGGAACAAAGAACTTTCCAACAAAACAAAGTCTCTGTGTTTGGGCAGGTTTACCATACACTTCTCAACAGTATAAGTCTGAGAGTAATCTCTCACTTACAGACACGTCTACAGTAACTGAGAAATGCCTCCTTTTAAACTTACTAGCTTAACAGTAGGCATGAGAACAGAGAGAAACAACAGGCTGCTCCGTGTAGACTTGTATAAGGACATATGTTGACACACATTCTGGCTGTTAGCCATATATACCAGTACAACAAATGCAATTTTAAAAGGTCCTTCCACTAAAACCAACAGGCCCTCAACTCACTTGGCATGGATATCAATTTAAGTTAAAAAAAAAAAAAACACTATTAAAAAAACAGACTCACTATCTGTAAGCACAAGGGTTTGCGCTCAGCCAGTTACTAGCTAAGCTAAGGTGACATAACCTGGACTTGGCTTCATCCCTGAGATATGCTCCAGCTTGAAGTGAAAACTCACTCCGGCAGCAAGCCTCTAGCTCCTCCTGTGGTGGGTCATGTCGGCCTTCTTCACTGCCTGTGTCCCCTAGGCAGGGCCCAGCTCGTTGAAACAGCCTCCCTGCAAGTCTGTGGATAACTGACATTATACGAGACAGAAGGAGCCAGCTGATAGCCGGCACTGAGTCTCCAAACTGCAGTAGATTCCAGGCCTTTTTAACAAAAATTATATCCACAAATTCTGATGACCACAATTAATTAAGGGCAAAAACTTGAGGCTATCCTGGCTTTCAATGTTTCATTTAAAGAGCAGTAGATGCGATGACCAACTGTGGGGAGCCTGGGCTGGACCTTCCGCGCACCATAACTTCCCGCTGCAGTTCACAGTGTCTGTCTGTCCGCCCTGCTTCCTCCTTTGGGCCAGAAATCGACTTTGTATAACAGTTAAGCGACCCTGTTTGTATTCTCCAGCCTGGAAAGTTCAGGGGAAACAGACACTCTGTACTCGAACAAGCTCTCAACAATCTCTTTCCTTTTCCCGCAGAAATCAAAACAGACTTCAATGTTGTCCTAAAGCTCTAGCTGGTCTGTGGAAAATAACACTCCAGCGTGTGGGCTTTGAGCCCCTGATCTGCACCTGTCTCTGGGGATCAGGGTGGACCCTCAGTGATCAAGCTGATAAGGACGTGAAGCATGGCATGTGAAAAGAATTCTCCCACCAGTAGGGCCTCCCCTGTCCCTGCATTTTACCTACCAATCCCTTAATTTACAATACTTCTTGAGTGGTGAGGTTCTGAGATATAACACCTCAAAGTCATGGGTCTTGTTACAAGGGTTACCAGTGCTGGTCTAATGTTACAGAGGGACTAGAGTGCAATTCTTCACACATACTCTCTACCAGCAACAAGGAGCTGATACTCATTTTGCAGATACCTGTTCAGACTTTGCACTCCCAAGGGTTATTTATAGACTCATGGATTAAAACATAAAGAGTGTCTGCCAAGGCCCTCTTTAAGGCCAGAGATCAGCCTCAATGAAGGCCTGGGAAGGAAAACAAAACCCCAACATCTGGGCTAAGTTAGGAAGTACTTTTTTTTAAATAAGGAAATAGGATGTAGGCCTACTAAACATTTCATAACTGTGGATAACTGAAATGTTTTGTGAAGTTATTGTTGTTAACTGTACCCTTTTTATTTAACTTTTTAGCTATAAAATCCAATCCCAATCATCTGGCGATACAATAAAACGGTTCGAGACTAAAAAACATTTTGGGAGATTAGAACACCTCTTCCTCTCTGCAACACGCACACACATACACACTTAGTGACACATACAAGTGCCCTTGTTCTGACTGCTACTCATCACATGGTGTTCAAGAGACTCCTCAACTCCCAAGTTTCTGCCTGGAGAGGATCACTCTCATGCATCATATGACCCCATCCTGGTGGCTTTTCCTCCTCTGATAACAGCCATCTCCCTTCAACTCATTCACTGTCAAACACAATCTGTGAGACAACCTTATACTTTGATACCCATTGTTTTCTCTGCCTGTTTTCTATGCACAGAGAAGTACGTTGTCTGGACACACTTTGCAAGAAAGTGCAAAGAAAAACTTCTCATCTTAGTTTAGCCATGTTATTGTAGCCTATTATTATTACATTATTGGAGGAAGGGAAAAACATGTGAACACGTGACCCTAAGAAGAACCCTGTGACTGTTGTATAAGGTTACTTGTTGTCTTTCTAACTTGTACCTCAGAATATAACCGGGGGCTTTTAATCACGAGCTTTTCCACATAATCAGCGGAGAAAAAAGGGATAACATCCACAGCAGTGGGTGTAACAGTCTAACAGACTGCCTGAACTTTACATGTACATTTTAACAGTAACTTTCTTGTGGTTCCATCCAAAGTTGCAATAAGTTTGGCACATGCTGCACTTCATATTAGAATAACATTACACATGGTAGAAGTGTGGAGGTTCTCTGGGCCTTGGTGCCTTTCAAAGGTGTTAAGTTATTCTTTTATTCTCGCTGCCAAAAACATAAACAAAAGAATAAAGGATCCAAGGACAGGCGGGATGATAAACCTAGCTGCAGCAAATAGGGGATGGAGGGTACTCACCGCTTTCCATCTCATTGCCCTTCTTCGCGGTGGGCGTGTTGCCCATGGTGGCAGGCTGATGGTTGAGTCCCTGGGCTCGGGATAAGTCTTCCTTCACAAGTCGTTGAGTGATGCTACACCGCTAACACACCGCTGGGCTCAATGAAGCTGACAGCTGCCCACTAGCTAACAGCTATCATTATCGACTAATAAATATAAATACTCTATATTTCCTTAGAGTGTCCTCAAACCCGACTAAAACCAAGCGAGAGGATATCTCCAAGTATGCAGCTTAGCTAGGCTAGCACGCTAGCTAAATCTAGCAGGGATGGTCAGAAGATGTTAGCTTTGAAGCGTTAGCTCGTCAATTTTTAAGCGAGCATCGGCAAATAAAGATGTCACTTGAGTTTGCCTTAATTCCAGAGACGATTTGGTAAATCCAAAATCCAATCCGGAACATTAAACAGATCGTTCAGAGATGTTTTCCGTCAATTAAACGAGCAAGCTACCATTAGCTTTTAGCGTCCCCTCGAAGTCGTATCCTGGCCTGAGCAAACCAGGTGCTATATCTCCGTGTAGGCAGGCCTTTTCAAGTGAGACCTGGATAACAAAAGTGCTTTCTAGGTTATCGTCCTTGCCGCTGTCTGGTTATTCAACTTGCTCTCTCGCCATTCGCTTAAAAATCAGGCGTCAAGCGCAGTGGATTCCTGGGACCGACCATCTGATAGCCGATTCCTAAGATCAACAGACCCCTTCCATTAATCTTCAGACCGCAAGGGAAACTCCAGTCATCCATCGAATGGGTCCCGCCTCTGACTGCGTCTGATTGGCTACATACACAGACACTCCCGCGATGATTGGATAGGCGTCAGTACATCTAATAATTGCATTGATACGATTCGTCAGTCAAATGGTTTCGTTCCGGCCCTTGGACGGCTAGAATCAAATACGCCCCAAACTGTCAGTGTTTTCTTCTTTTGTTCTTTCAATCATTATTAGTTTGCATTCATTTGATTACATTTCATTTAGGCCATAAGTCAAACGAAAGGGCATCTTGAAAACACCAACCGATATATAGAGCAATAATTTCAAATACAGTCCAGTACCCTAGCCACTATGTATACCGACGTGTGATTGGTCGTGACGTTAACACAGGCTATTTTAGTAAATTGGGAAAATATATTAGGATACTCACATTTATATCTGCGTTAGAGATTGATCTATGTTGTGTTTCATTTTAAAATAACAAATATTTAATGGGTATTAAAATTTACATTAAGGCACATTCAAAGTATTCAAAAGTTCAATATTCTAGTCTGTAGTCTAAGATGAGGAAATTAAAGAAACTTAGCCAAGTAATGAAAGGTAACAGTTCTAAATCATATAGATATAGACAGATCCATACACTGATACATAACAATGTTTTTTTTTTATTAGAACACAAAATGAAAAAAAAAAAAAACAGGTAAAAGAAACAAAGAGGTGAAATAATATAGCCCATACAAAGCCCAACAAAGCTCTAAAATCTTTGTGGAGGAGGTTTAAGTGCAAAAAGAATTAGAACACATAATGGTGGATTATTAAACTCCTGTACAGCAACAAATTGATGTTGATTTGCCTTTTGCTTCATTGTTGAAATTAAATAGGTGTGTTCTGCTCCAACAAATGGAAGAGAGGTGAATCACACATCAGCAATTTGTTATGTTTCTATGAAACTGTCCCACTTTATCACAGGTTTCCTTTTTAAATAGTTAAACTACCTTAATATGGCATTTAACATTATGGCTGGAAACTCCACGTCTGCAAGTGTTGATTATACCAGTGAGATGTTCATAATCTTCCTTGGAGCAAACTCTCATCTGAAGCCCGAGGGTTGTTTTTGACAAGCTTCCAATAAACAAAGGCAGCTGTAAGGCAAAGATGTCTGTCTGTACGTCCACACTAGAATGTCCACAGGCATCAATCAAAAGTAATGTCTGGTGCTTTGAGTTATCACCTTTAGGGTGGGGTTCTTCTCTATAAGCAGTCCATAGAGTTATCTGGTAGTAGCCCCATGGGTGGGGCCTTGCCTGGGAGACAGGATGGAGGGAGCATGGAGTTTGAACTGGGATCGACATTTTCAGAGTCTTCCATTCTCTCTGCACAGCCTTCCCAGTTTATATGGAATCTAGTAACACGGGGGTTTGATGCCAGAATATTTCTCTGGAGCTGAAAAAGAAAGTTGAAAAAATAGAACAGTTCAGAACTTTGGACAAGTGAATGTTTTTTTTTAAAGGACTATGTGTGTGCACTGCCCATATCATTAACATTATCAGGTATCTAGAGTCAGGGTACGACAACTTGAATCCTGTAGATAAGAATGGTACAAAGGTATAACATCGTATTCAACCATCAATGAATAATAATGTTAACAAAAATATAATAAACACTGCTTACTCCAAATGTGCATCTATGAGTTTTTTTTCCATAAAGACGGCCTGCTTAAAATGTAACGACTTCAAATGTGCTTTATCTTTAATGCAACCCATATTTGGGCTTCTGACTGAAGTTGTTAAGTTGCTAACATGTACACTATTTATATAACCAAAGCCATTTTCTAAGGATTGTTTTTAGCAGTTTCTGTTCCAAGGTGCAGGCCCCAATAATATAAAAGCTTCAATTCTAAACTGTATCTGTGTAAAATACTGCTTGATGAATATCTCTGTTCTGGCTTTTTGCATGGTTTATTAAATAAATGTGTTCCTCAAAGGCTATAGTTGTGGAAAGGTGTTTTTCTTCCATTTATTTAATATAAGATGATTTATGTTTGCATGATTTTTTTTCTTTTCATTTCAGCCTTTAATGATAGCTGTAGAGATTTAGGAAATCATGTGACCTGAAGGGCTACCAGGGTGCGCTTGGTTAACATTTCAGAGCAAAATTCCTTAAGAGTTCAAAACACATTGATGTTCTAGTTCCTGTATTGTTGTTTCCCAGAGTAACATGTCAAACCCGTGAAAAGCAGTCATGTAAGCAACAAAACACAGAATATCAAGACATCCACTTTAAATAGAGATATACAACATTCTCCAGTTTGTGATCAATAAAGTCAGTTATATGTTTCTTAAGTCTGACCTGTGTGTAGTCTGGCTTGATGGGTGGATTTTCACGAAGCTCTGGTTCGGTGTATTCATTGTTTACATAGTAACCAATACGAATGAACTCCTGGCCACGGTATGTGCAGGTAATAAGCACCACGGTTACACCAACAGCATCACTTTCAGGTATCAATCCAGTGTTCGGGGCATCAGCCTGTTAAAAGAAACAGTACATATAAAGCATCTTTTTGATACATTCACATGAGGCAGTTTAACTCTTTACTTGTCAAAATGGATTAATGGCATCAGGTAGGGAATGACATTGGTCAGTATGAAATGCATGCTTGTAAAATCAAAACCAGTTTGATCATTTATATATAACCAGACCATAACAAGATGAATTCAGCAGGTATAATTGGCTATATCATGATTTGATTGGTAGCTTTGATATTAGAAAAAAAAGTTATAAATAACGCAGTAAGAAAATTAAGTACAGTGACATAAATTAATGCAAATAAAGATTAAGTTAGAAATGTTTAATGTTAATTCAACAATTGGTGATTTGTATAACAAGTGCATGAAACTTGTTTCTATTAGTCACAAACAAGCATTTTTTACTCATCTTTTTTTGAAATCCTGAAGATCTGTGAGGCAAATCAATTCTTAAAAACATGTTAACATTGACCAACTCATTCTGTCTGAGTGATCCTGCACCATTATGGTTAAACAGAACATTTTGGATCCAGTAAAGCCTCAACAGACTTATGCTGATCCTCGTAATCGCTTCTTATATTCTATTTCATTTAAGTTCTTGCTTTTTTTTTAAACTTTGTCTCCTTCGTTAACTGTTTTGCACCAAAACACCAAGTCAAATTCCTTGTATGTGTAAATGTACTACTGATTCTGATAAACAGGAAGAGGCTGCTGGAGTCAGTCATCCATCATGCAAAAAGAAAACATAATAAATTAATGATTGTCGCATTCCATCTGTCGAAATCGTAACATCACTTACACATGAGTGATATCTGTGTGATGAGAACAGCTGTATTTGGCATAATATTCCTATATATCTTGGTATATGTTTTTGTAGTTATCACAGTTTTGTCAGGTATATATCTGTATGCATATTGCTATTTATTGTTCTCTGTGTGTATAAGCAACCTGCGTGTATTATGGATATATGTGTCCTTTAGAGGATATTTCTATATTTTATTAGCTTTATGACAGTATGGTACTTAAATAAAGTTTTATATATTTTTTAGTACTGGATTAGAAAATGATGAACTTCAGCTGTGTTGGGTCACGTGTATATTTAAGAAGGCAACTCACAAAAGACACTTTCAAGTCTGAGGAAGAGCATGTTGGCTCAAAAATGTCTCTTGTCAATATTTCTTTTAAACAGGAGCTCCTTGGTGTGTGGATCTTGTTTGTTTCTTATTACCTATCAGTGTTGTTGGATCGAGTATCCACAGAGGGATGTGCGTGTCTTCGTTGACATTTCATGAAAACATCTACTGGGACATGTGTAAGCCAGAACATTATATTATTGAAGGATAACATATCTGCTGAAGGTCAACTCAATTTTCACACTGGTTCAAAATGTTTCTATAACTTCTTGTCATATATACTGATAGTAATATATTTACAATGAGCTCATAAGGTTGTTTGAAAGGTGTAAAAGTTTCTGTCAAATGGCTCCATGTATAGAAAGAAGATTATTCAAATAAGAAGAGCACTTTTTAAAAGTGATCAATAACAACATAACTTTCTTTATGAACTAAATGTATGGTTTAAGCAACTCAAAGAATTGTTCTAGTTACTTTTCCCTTAGAGAACTCACCTGAAACACAAACATATGTCTCCCAGCAGGTACTGGACCAACCAAGACTGAGTCAAGGACTTGGTCATACTCTTCACTCTCTGCTGAGCCAACATAGATGATCTTCCATTCAAGATCTATAAATAAAAACAAGAACAAAGAAAATGAAACATCAAATGAAAAGCTGTGGATATTGTGCTTTGAATTTCAACCACTTGACTGCTTTCATTGATGAACAGATATAAAAATATATTGTTTATAACATGTTAATCATATTTTTCACTTGTAATAAAAACTTTTTTTCAAAACCGGAAATGCTGGATATGATGCAGTAATGTCCAAATTCAGTTACATTTCTAGCATTAACGAATTTCTTTAATTTTACAGATGCTAGGTGCTGTTTAAATAAACTACAGTATATCCATAACTATCATGATTCTTAGAGACATTTGACTTTCATGATGAAACACTTATAAAGGCTAACATAAGGAGTGAGAACCATTATAATCCAGTTCAGCGTTGACAGCATGTTATTACTTAAAATAAGATTAGTCTGCAAAGGGTAATCAGTTGTACGAGTCTTACTTTTATTAACTACATTCAAGATGTGTCATCAAGGGACACATTTAGTAAATATTACTTTACTTTGCCGTAATGTTTAAAAATTGGACGACTTTTATTTTGTAAATTAAAGTTAGCTAATGTGATGCTAGCAAACCGTTAGCAGTTAGCGGACTGTGGCCACCGAACAGGCACAATGCTAATATACACAAATCACGACTTTTGGTGAGATTGTACTTACCTTCTGGCAGGTCCTCCATACACTCAAAGGTTATTTCAAACTGGAAAGGATTTCCAAAGGGACTCGGGTTATCTAGAACAGCCACATTTAAAACCTGAACCTTCGCCATTGTTGCTAGAAAGAGGTTAGCCGAAAACAAACGTTCAAACCAGTTTCCCGGGAAAACCTTAAAAACAGCAGAGACACAAAGTGTAACAGGGGGAACACTTTCATCTGCAGAGTGCCCTAATATCAATCAAAAGTGCGCCTTAATTTTGAGACTGCATGCACAGTACTCGCTTTAAAAAAAAACGCAATAATGGCATTTATTAAATTATAAGATGTATGCACCGCTCTCCCGCCGCTTCACTGTCCTACCCAGACTCCACCGCGCTTAATACATACGGCAAGCGAGTAATACAGTCTATGGTGCTGGGTGCTTTGACTGTTATCAAGAACCTTCATCTAGGAAAAAGCAAAGTGCTGTTGTCGCACCCTAGTGGATAAAGTATAAAAGCATGTACATACAAAAAGCTGCATGAATAATACTTGAATGAACAAAAAATACATTTCTAGACTGCCCAAAGTTTAAAATAAAATTGGAGAACATTTAACAACGCGGGAAGAGGCTTTTGGTGATCAACTTCAAGATCGTATTTTAATGTTGTTTTAATGCCAACTGCTTAACATAAACCTGGGGAAACAATTAAATATGAATTGTACATCATCTCTCCATAAGGAAACGGACAAAACATGCACATTTTACGATAAGCTTTCAGCAAAATGCCATCACAACAATGCCATATATTACAACCCCATCTGACTGTCATTGTAAATGTGATGATGCCTTAATATGCAGACATAGACCATGGGTCAAATGACTTTTATACGTTTTTCTTAGTAAATTACAATTTTGGGGACAACCATGTTTACAAGGGATCAGAATGATGATTGTTAAATATGGCAATTTGTGGAATTGACTGTAAATCTGTCTTCTAATTTTATGTCATAACATTTCATCATCAGTTGTATTAAGCCTACAGGATTTAGATTAAAAAGCATGTATGCAAATCAATACAAAAATAGAATACCTTAACCTTCATGGATGATTACTGACTATTTGATTACTGAAACACTAAGAGAGAAAAAACATATATATTGGTTGATATGGGTGCCTCTTCTCAGGCTCAAGCAGTTCAAGTAATTTTCCATAGTACCTCTGCTTAAAAAAACCCTCTCTGCTCTCACACACTGTCAAAATGAAGACTATCTGACCACCACAGATTAGGCCCAAAGCAGCCACATTTTCTTTGCCCCTCTGAGTCTGAGAGGGAGAGATTAGGTGGGGATTAGAGCCCATTGGACCAGCTGGCCGCCGAATTCATCCTTCAAATATCTCAGGAATGTTGATATCCTTTCTCATGCTGGGCAACCTGAAACCTGAGGGAGGCGCTATTTCATGCGGCCAACACAATCAGACAGGTTGCTAGGTAAGTGCTTGGCAGAGAGTGCAGTCAAACACTACTACAGCAAGTGAGAGTAACCTGGTACCCGAACCAGTTCAAAAAAGTTCAGTTTAAAACAAATTCAGGATGGAAATAGGCACATTGTGATCCAGATTAGATTAAAGGTAATGTTGAGGTAGTCTTTTTTCAGTGGAAACAGGAGAAATCGGGTCTGCTGTGCTTCAGTAAACTGCGTTTCTCTTCGACAAAGGAGTGTCTGTTCGCTGTGCAGCAGGTGGATAACTGCGCTCAGGTACTGTAATACGAAACTGTACCATGTGACCAATGGCCATTTGAAAGGCAGACGAGAAAAAAAACTGTTTTACCTAAAACTCCAACTGCTGGTGTCGACAAGGATGGCAGCCTTTTACTTAGGTGGCACGTAAATCGTTTTTGTCTCTTAGTGTTACCTGTCCTCCATTGGACTAAACCACTTGCTGCCCAGGCGGAAGAACTGTGTTTCATGCGCGAGGAATCTACCTGATGTTTCCCTTTTTGCTTCGCTCACCTGAAACCAGCCTCATCAAGGGTATCAGAAGGTAACATCATTTATTCTTTCCTTTTGACGATAAGACTACTTTCCTATAACACTGTTGTAAAAGAGCCAGGACTGAACTTTGAAGCCTTTATTTTTTAATACATGTGCTATTTAAAGATGATTATTTTCGTGTGTTTTGAGCTGGTTTAATGGTGATTGTGACTCAGTAGTTGTATTGTGGCAGGGCTTACTCAAAATAATTGTCTAAATATTTGTGACAACTTGTCTTCAGCTGATTTAGGAGGGATATAAATCCACACAGTGAATGTTGCACTTAATGAAATGGAGCCGAGCTGATGCCCACAAGTCCCAGTCTGCCGTCACTTGGCCTTGCTGGTCCCAGGACGAGATGGCAGCCAGTCTGGACGTGATGGCCCTACCTGGAGGAGTCGTGGTTGGGAGTGTTTTACTGCTGGTGCTGAGCAATAATCCTGTATGGGGTGAGTCAGTAACCATCCCTTTATCTTCCACACTCCCTCACAAGCAAAACATCTGACCACACCTACACACACAAACGCACCATAGAATCCTGCAATGATAGCCTAAAAAAAAACCAACAAAAAAAAATATAGGGGACGTGCCAGAGCTAATCTGAAACATGCACCAGCTTGTCAGCATAGAAAATCAAATCTACACAGTGAACTCAGAAACACACACTGTCATATGAGAAACAAGGATATGTAATATTCAGGTTCAGTCAACCATAATGCCATATATATAAAAATACATGTTCACAATACAATCTGCATCTCATTCCAGCATGGCTGCCCCCTCAGTAACCCATGCTTCCTGTTATCAAGTTGAACTTATGTCCTTGCAAAGTTTACTGTTTACCCTTGTGAATGATTGACTCAGAAGACAGTAGCGGAGAGATACAATTCATGTGACAAAACCTTATTTTCTAAGATATTTTTAAATCAATTTAAACGCCTTAATCCAAACAATTTTCAAAGTAGATCTGTTTTCACCCCCCATATTTATAGGCTTTAATTTACAAGCTAGCTATTTGACTCAGTTGACTGTACAAGTGAAGTACACTCTGCATTCCTGAGCTCCTCCTCCTCTTTCCCTCTCCTGGTCAAGTAGTTACTCTGTAGTTTTGTGATGTCCCCGAGTAATCACATGACCGGTCATGGATAAAATGTGTGGAAGCAGCACAAGACTGGCTGGATATGTGGTACTCTGCATTTCTGAGTTTTTTCTGCTTTGAAAGTGTGCACTTGGCTTAAAGCAGTTTCTGCTGTGCAGTCGGTTCCTGTTTTATCTGCTTTAGTAAAATAATGTGACTGCTGTATTGTGAAAATGAATGTATTTATCATGTGATTCCAAATTTTTCAATAGCCAAAGTAGATTTAGAGCTTCCTCCTTTTATTCACTTGAGCAAGTTTTGAAATAACTTCCTGTATTTTTTTCATATTGCAATATATATTGCAGAAAGAAAAGATATCACAATTTCACTTTTTTCCCCCCAACACCGTTCAGCCTTAGTATACACTCAACATTCTCTCAGCATATGCAGTCTAGAAGAGAAAATGTGAACCAGCAGCTGAAGCCAACACTTAACTAGCTTAGCACAAAGACTGGACATAAGGGGAAACTGCTAGCATGGCTCAGTCTGAAGGGTGCATCAGTGCAGTAGCACCTCCAAAAAACATCACTATTCACACATTGTATCTTGATTGTGTGAACTGTCCGAAAACTGAAATGTAACAACATATTTAAAGATGGGTTTATGTGCTGGACCTCTTTAAAGCCAGGCAATGAGGCAACAGAATCGGGGTCATATGTTCTTACATGTAACAAGTGTTCACATTGTTTAGTGAGGTAAAACAACCAGGTCAAGTAATGCAACATCTTTAGTTAGCTGAATAGTTAAAGTCTGGGTAAGCAGCTTCTTTACCAGTAAGAGAAAGCTTGAGTTTGAAAGCATCATTCCCAGAGAGAGTCGAAGCCAACCCCCTGAAAACACACGAACATAAATTGCTTTATTACTAACTGATGAAGGTTAGAGGGCATATAGGATTGTTAATTGCTAACCGAGTTTAACAAATTCTTTCTGATAGTGAGCAGCTTTTGTGGCTTTAGCTTGTGCAAGACTCTGCTCAAATGAGTATGCATGGTTGATTTCAACAAATGTAACAATAATTTGTCCAAAATACACCATCTACTCTGGCTTTAATGGACAGCCAGTCGGTTAAAGTTAGGGTCCTGTAGCCAACTGTGTGGAGTATAAACAGACACTCAACGACGATTCACCTGAAAGCTCTTGCTGTGTTACCTCAGTGTTCCTGACATGCTCTTCTTTTCACAGGAAATCACACCGATCTTGCGAGGGAAACTCGTTTTAATGAAACTGCAGTGAGTGAAACATTTGATCAATACCATTTAACCAGACATTATCCTCTACCAACAGACGGATCACTGTCCTGTGTTTTCTCCATTTGCAGGGACCCAACATCGCTGCGATCGTGGCCCCCACGGTCACCCTGGGTCTTCTGGCCATAGTCCTGGCGGTTCTCGCATGGCTCTTCTGCGTGGTGAAAAAGAAGAGACAGACTGAAGGGACATATAGACCCAGCGCTGAGGAACAGTCTGGTTCATCCAACGCCGCGGCACCAGATGCTTTAAAGTTACCAAAAGAGGAACGACTCATATGAGACTTTATGCGTTATGTTTGCACAAAAATCTGTAAGGACACTTGTTGCTAAAGTTAGCATTGCAGCGTCATTGTGAGACGATGCTCTTTCTGTGAGCGTGTAAATGAAAGACAAATCTCCCCCTGGATTTTAAGAAAGGACAGGTTGCCAAGTGTGTTCACACAAACATGATGCATTCATATTACCACTTTCAAGTCATCAAGCACCAGATGATTCCTGTGTGACACTGTGAAGAAATACACCTGCATGGACCTAGCTGATTTCAAGACAATTTGACATTTCAAAGAAGGTTTTGAACATTTCTGCGATACAAATAAAGCATGAGATTTAGTATTTTTTATCACTGTTAATGATTTGAGTTCTGGGATATTTCACTTGTTAATGATGTCTTATTGTATATTCAACCATGTACTTTGACCTGATTTGATTGAGTCTTTTATGAAACACTGTCACCTCCATCTTCTATGCTGATCTTTTACCTCAAGCTCTTGTTTATTTTGCTAACATGAGTCCTTATAAGTGAGTCTGATTCAACATTGAAAGTGTTTAAAGTTTGATAATGAGAGTGTCTCATCAAAGAGCAAAAATCATTTTAAAAAATCTAGTTGTTTTTGTAAAATGTGATATACTGATAAATTGTGTTTACACTCAAGATCTCCTATGTAATGAACCCAATTCAAACAAGCAAAATGCATCAGAATCAAGCAGATATTGTATTTTAAAATGTCTATTTATGCTTTTGTCAAATAGATACAAAGTTTTTGTAAACTACTTGAATGGTTAAACTTTGCATCCCTGAAGAAAATGCTCCTGTTGTCATTTCTTTTAGTATGATTATATTTATTATGTTCAATCCCTGTCGAAACAAGGCTAAAACCACAACTCTAGTACAGTAATTGGAAGCATGGTAAAAGAGTAAGGAAGATAAGGAGTCCTGATAGTCAGAGGGGGAATGCAGAGCCTCTGCAACCGCATCACACCTGAAAGTCACAGGAACTCTGCAGCCATTGTTAGTTTCTATAGAAATGAAAGAAATTCCATAATCTGACATTTTGTAGAACTACAGAAAAGATGGCCGACATGATTCGAAGTGGATATGTATTAAACACCTACTTTTCCAGAATGGAAATAACTATTAAAACAATCACTCTTTTAGAGAAATATATCTAATGGGTACTCCTTGATTTGAGATTTCAGCTGCTATCACTTGCTATCGAGACCAATACACCATTCATGCACGCTGACATGTAACTCCAAACACAAGTAATACCAGGAAATGACTTTTGACTGCCTTGTGATGAATGGGTTATCTCAAGAAATGGGCTCCCTTTTCTCATGATAACAAACATGTGAGATTCTGTTTTTGGTTCACTCATATTCACACAGTGTTATTTGTCTAGATAAGTGTTGACTTTAACAGAGAGAGAGGAAAGTCCCAACATGTAAATTTGGCTATCTGCTAATCAGTTGAGTGAGAAAGATACAAGACCTTTCCAAGTTAGAAAACGTATAAATGCAGGATTTACAAACTAATGTTTATTTGTTCCCACGTGCTGTTAATACTAGGCTTCCAGTTACTTGCTATGACTTATACCGGTAAATACATTTTTATTCAGCAAGACATCCCTCTGATAAGGGAAGCTTATCTACAGTTCAGCTGAGCACAGAACAGGCTTGCCTTGTATCAACAGCCCAGACTGAAATTTTCACAGGAATTATGTATGAAAAGTGCAGAAAAAATGTCTTCCTTCTAAATCACGGGAGCTGGATTAGTCTCACAAAGATTAATTGTTTCTACTGTTCATTGTTCGGCTCACATTACAGTCGGTCACCTGACTGTGAGACTTTCCACTGGTGGAATTCCTTTTTGGACTCCAGAGCATTTTTATGATGAATACTGGCCCCATCTTGATTCCAAATGTTGGAATCAATGTGGACTTAAAGGTCATAAACCAACTAGATTGTTTTATCCCTTAAGCATGACATTTTGCTTCACACATTGAGTTATGTTCCCTTTTTGTTTTTTGAAATTGCGTCAGTAAGAGGTTACAGAGGAAGCAACCTACTCACAAGTAATTCAAAAAGCAAGGAACAGGATTTGTAAACCCACGAGAACTACTTTCATTGTCAGCAGTTTGTAGGTGAGACAGTAAACTGCTCACAAAAAATAACTCAAACGCAGTCAAACTGGTGTTTTGATCAGGTTTTAATCATCCTCCAATTTCAAGGCTTCACAGTTAAAATCACTTGCTTTTGAAATTTGCAAGGCAATCAATGGACAGATGTAGAGGTTGAAATAATTCAGTGCATTCAACAACATAAGAGAACATTTGAACCAAACTTCACTAGTATCAACACCAAAGTCTAACACTAGAGTGACAGTGATCTAGATGGTAACAGTTTTCCAGAGTTGGGGGACCATTTAATTCATGATGGAGAGGGATGAAAGGGATGGACTTGTGGGAGTGTTGATGTGAAAATGGTTTTAGGCGACCTCCTCCTCTCCTTCCTCTTCAAACTCGCCTTCCTCAGCGGTGGCATCCTGGTACTGCTGGTACTCAGACACCAGGTCGTTCATGTTGCTTTCGGCCTCAGTGAACTCCATCTCATCCATGCCCTCGCCGGTGTACCAGTGGAGGAAAGCCTTACGGCGGAACATGGCGGTGAACTGCTCAGAGATGCGCTTGAACAGCTCCTGGATGGCTGTGCTGTTGCCGATAAAAGTGGCAGCCATTTTGAGGCCGCGGGGAGGGATGTCACAGACGGCGGTCTTCACGTTGTTCGGGATCCATTCGACGAAGTAGCTGCTGTTCTTGTTCTGCACGTTCAGCATCTGCTCATCCACCTCCTTCATGGACATGCGGCCGCGGAACACTGCAGCCACGGTCAGGTAGCGGCCGTGACGTGGGTCGCAGGCAGCCATCATGTTCTTGGCGTCGAACATCTGCTGGGTGAGCTCGGGGACGGAGAGCGCGCGATACTGCTGGCTCCCCCTGCTGGTGAGGGGGGCGAAACCTGGCATGAAGAAGTGCAGACGCGGGAAGGGCACCATGTTGACAGCTAGTTTACGGAGGTCAGCATTGAGCTGGCCGGGGAAACGCAGGCAGGTGGTCACCCCGCTCATGGTGGCAGACACCAAGTGATTTAGATCTCCATAGGTGGGGGTGGTGAGTTTAAGTGTGCGGAAGCAGATATCATAGAGAGCTTCATTGTCAATGCAGTAGGTCTCATCAGTGTTTTCTACCAGCTGGTGGACAGAGAGAGTGGCATTGTAGGGCTCCACCACTGTGTCGGACACCTTGGGAGAGGGCACCACGCTGAAGGTGTTCATGATGCGGTCGGGGTACTCCTCGCGGATCTTGCTGATGAGCAGGGTGCCCATGCCAGAGCCAGTGCCGCCACCCAGGGAGTGGGTGAGCTGGAAGCCCTGGAGGCAGTCGCAGCTCTCAGCCTCTTTCCTCACTACATCCAGGACGGAGTCCACAAGCTCAGCTCCCTCAGTGTAGTGGCCCTTGGCCCAGTTGTTTCCTGCTCCACTCTGACCTGAAATCAGGAGTAACACAGTTTCACTGAAATCACATCTGGTGAAATATAGATAAGTGAATCTTTGCTAAATTGACATATCTTTACCAAAGACAAAGTTGTCAGGTCTGAAGATCTGCCCAAAAGGGCCAGATCTGACTGAGTCCATCGTCCCAGGCTCCAGATCCACCAAGATGGCTCGGGGCACATACTTTCCTCCTGAAAGCAGTTAAAAAAGAGCAACATTAGATTTTTTTGTCAAGCTTAGCAGACACAAAGGCTTATGCAAAACATTTTTATAGCAGCAGGAGAACTTACCTGAGGCCTCATTGTAATAGACGCTGATCCTGTCTAACTGCAGATCGCTGTCCCCATGGTAGGAACCAGTGGGATCAATGCCGTGCTCATCACTGATCACCTCCCAGAACTGAGGGGGGAAAAAAACAGGCGTGGAAGGAGAGGAGAGAGAGGCAGATGTTAATGTAGCCTGAGGTCAAAGGTATTACAAATGTATGATAAAGTGTATTTAAAGAATAAATGTGGCAAGAGCCTTGAATAAAGCAAGGTGACTTTAAAGGAGGCTAATAATTACATATAAGCTGCAAGAATGTTTAATTTTGAAAAGCAGGATAAAAGTACAATCTAGTCTGAAATGCAGACAGACTGAAGGAGGAATCAAGCAGATGGCAATAATGTGATAAGTAACATTATCTGTAAATCTTACAAGCACACAATTTACTAGGACAAAAAAAACTGATGATGATGGCGATGTCAAAATAAACTTTAGATAGTTTGAGAAAACGTCATTTTCTTGAGTTTCTGGCTTGTAAAGAATCATAGGTAAGAATGGGTCTTAATGTGGTGGAGGAGGGGAAGCTGATACTGTTTACAATGGTTACATTATTGCAACCCATAATCGCTTGCAGCACTTGATAAACAATTCAGAGAAACCAAAAGCTTATCAAATCTTAAGCGTATTATGTTTTACGGTAGCCTAGTAGCCTATGCGTTAATCAAGGGTTGCATGGATATTGTTCATAAATGAAGCCCTGCTAAGAAAGTCAATGAAAGAATAGTCTCTGCTTTGAAATAGGCTACATTATTTTGTATTTATTTCACGGCGACGCTTCAAACAAGACAGTATAGGCTACATGGCGTTGAGAGTTCTTGGAAGATGGATTAGACGGATCCCCTCAGCGGCACTGAAGCACCCTTGCACGAGCCTGCTGCACAAATCACAAGCGAGCTGAGAAGAACTTTAAAATTACCTTGGCTCCGATCTGGTTTCCGCACTGACCGGCTTGCAAATGCACAATCTCGCGCATTTTGAGCGGATGTAGACGACGATGGTTTGAGCAGGAGACGAGAATCACAGCAGCAGAGGCTCACAGGATGGTGGTTCCTGCGTCGAATGATCAGGGATTTATTGCACCGCCTACAGTGGTGGTGGGCTGAATCGGTGGTGCAACTTGACGTCATTTCCATGGCAACCAAAGAGCGGAGGAGAGAGGGAGGGCCCGTGATCCGTGGAGATGGCGGATAGGGTGCGAGGAGGAGCCACATCACTTGTCGATAATATTCTCATTATTCTCACGGACCGAGTGCAACCACACCCTCCTCCAAACACTCACACATCCACACACAAAGTAACGAGTGTTTGAGGCCTGGCTACACATCTCGGTATCAAGGTCGACACTTTGCAGTTTTTTAGTGTTGCACACTGCAGGGCACACCGAGTTCATTATTCTCAGGTCAAATAGACTACACAACAACATCTAAAAGTCATATCTTGAAAGGCCAAGCACAATAATATCATAAAAGCTAAACTGTATCAACAGGAGCTTAGATAAAACATGATAGGGTCCTAGACTACAGGCTCTCCCACAGTATGAAGAATGTAGGAAGTCTACAGGTAGTTCTTCTTGTTAGACAAACATTTGAAAAACACACTTAAGGGATAAAAGGCCTATATGACTTTTTTTTTAACTAGGGTTGGGTGAGCCTAGTTAGCCACTAGTCTTTGTTAAATGTAATATTTAGCCAACTTAATTAAAAAAAAAAAAAATGATGAAGAGGACACTGACATAGAAGTCTATAGGCTTAAATAAATCCATGAAATACAAGTCAGAAAGTCTGGAATTTGGTCAGACTTAAAATATTTCTGATAATTAGTCACCATCAAGTCCATTATGATAAAAGTTTACTTGAAACTTTAAAAGTATTAATAAAAAGCCCACAACCAGATAAGCCCCCCTCCTCATTCTGAGCAAAAAATGTGTCCCAAAAGTTATCTGGAGCTAGCTGCTAAATTGTCTGTGTTATATAAAGAGGATTTATTTCATATTTCTAATAAAATTCCTTCTCTTTTTAGCACTTTTCTCCCAGTGTGGTTCAGTAAAACAGTATCCAGTGAAAACAAAAGTGATTCATTTTATACAAAGAAAACTTATTTTCAATGATTGAAGTTTTAACCTATTTTGGAAGATTATATTCCTGCTTAGTGATTGACATAGGTCAGTCCTCTATTATATGTTTCTGTGTCCTTTTTTCAGTGTAGGCCTAAGTTTCTCTAATTGTCCCAATCCGGTTGCAAATAAAAATACCCTTTTTCAAATTATGGTATGTTTTAAGGCAGTGATTCCCAAAGTGGGACACGGGACCCCAAGGGGCGGCCAGGAGTTATGACAGGGGGGTCTGGCCAGGTTTAACAAAAACAATTCACACCATTTTTCACTGATTGCAAAGCATGGCAATGTTTGTAAGAAAACTTTGAGGTAAACATAAGGCTGAAGTCACACAGAAGTCACACATTTGGAAGTGTTACAGCCTCCATTTTAATTGCTTCCTCTTTAAACGTGGCTTGTTATTTTTTCAGTTTGTTGTCACACTGGAGTTGCTACTCTGTACTTTTTGCAATGAGTGTTTAATATAAATTCTCAAAATATAGACAAGTGTTAGCAATGAGGGCGACTGACAGTGTGTATGTCCATATATGTAGATGTTTATGGTGAGGGGTGGGGGGCTTGAAATGTTTTCATCTGCCAAAGGGGGTGCCGGCAGAAAAAGAGGACACACTCACTCAGACTGATTCCTTGTATGACCTGCAGGGGGCAAAATATCAGCAAAACCATTCTTCATACTGAGGACTTAGTTTATTAATCAGAAGCAAACCTGTCCTTTATGTTCCCCAGTCAGTTTCTTAAATTAAAATGAGTTTAACAGACAGAAATAGTGCTTAAGTAAAAGTATTTATTATTGCTCTGAGCTGGTTTAGCTAGTTTAGTTCAAAAATAGAACCAACACAAGGAACATAACAAGAGTGATCGAGCCACCATACTAAATTCACCTTTTTAGTATAAGTTCATGGTGTCTATGTGTTCTTACACTATGAATTAACAACAACGTTTGATTGTGTGCATCCCTAAATTATTAACACGAGTGTCAATGATTACTCATTTCTATCCAGAATGATGACATTCCAAACATGCAGCAAGTTACCAACCAGTTTTCTTTTTAAAGCTTTCCAACAACTGGCCAATGGGGCTCTATTTCCTGTTTCCCAGCACTGCTACATACAGTGTTGTTTCACCCGGCTGCATGATTTAAGTTACTCCCACAAAACTCATGCAGAGCATTGGCTACTTCACATCAAGAACAATAGAAAGCAGTTGGTGTGCTCTGTCGCTTCCAGGAGATGAGTTTCACCAGGCAAGCCAAATGATGGTGTTGACTGAGGACTCATTCGGGACTTGAACTTGAGGATTTATGCTTTTTTAAACTGTGGATTTCACATTATTGTATTTAAAAAGAATGTCACTCCCGGAGGAGGATCTTACATGCCCAATTTGCTGTGACATCTTCACAGACCCCGTTTTGTTGGCATGCAGTCACAGCTTCTGTAGGAGCTGCCTGAGGCGCTGCTGGGACAACGGCTTACGTGAGTGTCCAGTGTGCAGAAAGAGAGCCTCTAAGTCCAGTGCTCCTTCTAACTTGGCTCTGAAGAATGTGTGCGAAGCTCTGTTAGAGGTCAGGAGGCAGAGCTCAGTAGTGGTGGAAGACAACACAAACTGTAGTCTACACGGGGAGAAGTTAAAGCTGTTTTGTCTGGTTGACAAACAGCCTATCTGTGTGGTGTGTCACTCTTCTAAACTGCACAAGAGCCACGACTGTTCGCCTATCGAGGAGGCAGCACTGGACTGCAAGGTAGGGGGAAAAAAACAGATCAGTGTGTTCCTGACCTACATTGCAACATCAACCCAATAAACTGACTCTGCTGTTTTGTCAACCTGAAGTATTTAAGGTAACACCTAAAGGTAGAATGCAGTCCCACAAGTCTGTCCGGATTGTTACCTTTTAGCTATCTGAGCTTTAAAACAAATCAAAGTACTCCTTATATACTTCAACACTATACCATTTAGATAACTGATTTCTTACTGTGGGCCTGCTTTATTTACAGGATGAACTTTCCGTATCCCTCAAGAGCTTGCAAGAAAATCTGGAAAGCCTCAAAAGAATTCAAGAGACCTCTGCAGACACATTCAAGTTCATTAAGGTAACCTGTGACACAATGACAGAAAGTTTGGGATTTAAAAAAAAATCTGTTCAAATAAAGTAAGAATGTGCAATTATTATGAATTCTTAGACTCAGGCTCTGGAAACGCAGAAATTGATCAAGGGCCAGTTCGAGCAGCTCCATCAAGCCCTCGACCAGGAGGAGTCAGCCAGGATAGCAGCTGTGAAAAAAGAAGAGGAGGAGAGGATAGCGGCATTGAAGGCTAAGATTAAAGAACTGTCAGCAGAAGTGCTGAACCTCACAGAGATCATCTCAATCATACAGGAGCAGCTGAAAGAAGAGGATATGGTCTTGATGAAGGTCTGTCACACTTCTTTAAATGTCAAGTTTTAAAATCATTCTTCCCCTCAAATGACCCACTTTTAATCTTTCTTTTTTCCAGAATTTCAAAGACACTCAGGAAAGGTAAGTCAGCGGAGTGATGCACTTACGCCGGTCTTGCTTTGATGTGTTGTCTCAGTGTGAGGTTTCTGTTGTTATCACAGAGGGAAAAGTGTAGCGCTTGGTTCAGACAGCATATCTGGGATACTGATTGATGTGACCAAGCATGTTGACAACCTCAAGTACAGAGTCTGGGAGGAATTGCTGGGCCAAATAGATTATAGTGAGTATATACATTATGTTAATTTCCTTTAGTCTTAAAGACAAAAGGTGCAGAATTGTAAAAACCCAAACCCTGTTTAATATTTCAGTCCTTTTGTTTGGCTCATTTCCTGTCTTTTAGCCCCAGTGACTTTGGACCCAAACACAGCACACCCCTGCCTCATCCTGTCTGATGACCTCACTTCTCTCCAGTACTCAAAGCGGGCCAGCTGTTGCCCTGACAACCCAGAGCGCTTCCACATCAGCGCTGAAGTGGTGGGCATGGCTGCGCTGGGTTCAGGAAGCCACCACTGGGTCGTGGAAACAGGAAGTAATCAGGACTGGCTCCTGGGCGTGGCCTCTTTGTCTGTACCAAGGAACACAGAGGTCTCTGCTCGGCCCGAGAACGGCTTCTGGACCTTGTGTTTCCGGGATGGAGAGTTCAGGGCAATGACCTCGCCCCCAGCTCCACTGAAAGTTCCAAGACCACCCAAACAAGTCAAAGTGCAGCTGAATTACAACAAAGGGACCATTTCTTTTTCCGACCCTGCTGATGACAAGCTCATTTATGAATTTACAACAACATTTAAAGAACCTTTGCTTCCATATTTTTATACACAGAGCAGCCACCCACTGAGAATAATGTCAGAAAAGGTACTTATCAGAATGTTGCGCCAATAAGTCGATTACTGATTCAATAATTGGATCTCAGTTCTGTTTCAATGTAAAAAAAAAAATATATATTTTAAGGGTTGGCTCTAGTGTTAACGCCTCCCACATGAGGATGCAAAGCATTCTTAACCATTTTGAAGTTTTATTGATTTGTCCTCTTTTAAAGCTCCCCTGAGGAGTTTTTAAATGGTTATCAAACAGACTGAAATTAAAACTGATGCCTCTGAAAGACCCAGAAAAACAAACTAGACCATCAGTGACTAGATAGATTATTTCTATGAAGTTATTTATTGTGTCTGAAACCACTGCCATGAGGTAGGTGTCAGATGAATTGAGTGCAATGAACCTGAGAGATATGTTTGACTGTTTAAAGACAGATGGATGAAGTTCTTTTTGTTAGAAATTACTACTTAGACATATACGGGACAAACCAGCAAAGTCTAATAGTCTAACAGATACCACATTGTCAACAGAGGTTGCTAAAACCCAAGGTTCCTTACAAGACCTTTAAGGAATAGTCAGACATCTTGCAAAATACACTTGTGCTTTTTTGTAAACAATTTAGCGAAGATTTCTACTGCCCCCAAGTCTGTATAATAAGTTACCAACAGGAGCTGGTTAGCTTAGCATAGCATTTACACTGAAAACAGCTAGCCTGCTCACAGGTAACAAAATCTACATTCTAATCCCTATAAAGTTCACTATCATACCTTATAATATTTTATTGTTGAATCTGTGGAAACATAATCCTTCAGACAGGTACTAGCGGTGTCCCCCTTTTTCCGACTTTTAGCTTTAAATACACATACTTGACAACCAAGTGAGCAGCATTAGTCTTCTGATATGGGGTCTACAGATAGAGGGTGATGATTAGTGGTGCAGCTTGGGCTAATATGATTTAGGGATCCATAAAGTTGACTTGGCTTGCCTTGACATCTTTTCCCATTTCCCAGCATGTGGAATTATTCCTTAGACAGCAGTGCTCTGATTGTCTTATTCCTCCATTAGTGGCAAGTATATGGTTAATTAGCAAGGGTATCAGTCAAACTTTCTAAAACGCTGTATTATGTAATGCACTTCAAAAATAAGCTGTACTAAATGTGGGGTTTTGAGGTTGTCCATAAATTGGGTTTTTGGTGTGCAGGACACCTCTTTATTCTCCTGAATTGTCTGCCTTTATCCAATGAGTGACACAATTGAGCAGGTGTTCCATGTTTCATAAATGGATGATAACCACATCATGCAAATTCACCTCTGCAAAAGAATCAACATGCACTTTATCAAATTCAATCATACACATATACACTGATCATTGTGTAAATTTGAGTGGGTAAGAGGGATTGGCCTGTACAGTTCTGTTAATTAATCTCTTTGTACACATGATGGCGCCAAAGTCAAACATTTATTATGAAGGATTTTATTACAGTGAGGACTACTTTTAACACTTAAACCTCATTTGGTAAAAGTCAATCAAGAACATGATCAGTCTTAGCAAACTTGAAATTAAACTGTTGATTTTCCACCTTTGACTCATTCTTGATGCATAGTTCTAAGGTTGCTTTGTGTTACTTAACATAATTATCTTTTCACCAAAAACAAACGTTTGAAATATATCTCAAAATTAGATCAGTCACAGCAAAACAAATGCATTGAATTGCAGCATTTCTTTAGAACCATTGTAGGAAAATTATCACCAAGGTTCAATGTGCGTTATATCTTCAAAAGCTAAGGCTGTTGGTTTTGAGCAGGTGGGGTTTTGTTGGGCTCTGCACAGACGCAGGGGCACCACTTCTTCACACAGGTTTCTGGGAGAAAAGGAACCTTTTCCAGACGAGACAGATAGACAAGTGGCTGGATGGTGCTACTGATGTTGAGGAAAGCGAAGCCCACAGGCTGTACATAGCAACGAAACCCATCGGGGGTGTAGTAGTCTTCAGAGGGAAACAGCGCTACAAGTGGTAAGTAGTTAAACACGATGATACAAAGGATGGAGAGCACCATCTTGAAGGCCTTTTTCTTCATGGGGTGCATCTCATCTTTTCCTGCTCCACGGGACTTCTTCAGTGTCCACAGGATGGTTCCGTTACACATAACCATCCAGCTGAATGTTGCCAGGACCTCACCGGTGAACACTTTCTCAAAGTTGGGGAAGCCACCAACAACCTTGGCTGCTGAGTAAGCAAAGGTTAGGCAGAGGACCAGAATGGTGAGGCTCAACCTGTACTTTATGTGTTTAAGCTGCCCGAACATGATTGGAAAGATCACAGCTATAAAGCGATCCAGGCAGATACAGGAAAGAAACAACGGCCCACTGGTGTCTTTCACACCGTAAGAGAACTTAATGGAAGACCACACCCCCTTGCTCTGCCAGTGGTAAAGGTTAAGGAAAATGATAGGGGTCATGACACCGAAGTAGGCGTCCATGAAGGCTAGACAGCCCAGGAAAATGTCTGAGGTGGAGGGATCTTTGCGGTTGTGGATGAGGATTGCAATGACAAGTATGTTTGCAGGGATTCCGACAACTACGTTGATGCATTGAACGGTTAGGTCAAAGAGGATGCCCTCCACCTGATTATCACAGCCGTCAAACACACTGAAGGGCTTCACTGTGGCGTTGATGTCAGCGGTTACATTGAAGGGGAACAGAGTTGGGATCGAGGTGGAGTTGAGTGGTAAGGATGCATTTCTCTCCATGATTCTGCAAATTCAAATAAAAACAACAACAACAGGGCTCTAAGGGAGAAGTAAGAAAACGTTCATCAGGGTTTAAATTTATAATCTACTTCAACAGCTGCTCACTTAAAACTTTCACAAACTGTTGTACATTTTCTTAAAACCTAGGTCTCAATAGGAATTGTGTTTGTCATGAACAAGTGGCACAGCCTCGGCCATGTCGAATGTTCACTGGAATCCTTGTGATCCTGTGGTGTTTATTCTCAGTTGAGCTAAACTATAGCCGTGGAGCAAAGTGAACACCGAACCTGCAGAGTAAAAAAACATGTAGCAAACACCATAAGGGCTTTTCCTCGGGCTGTTTTCTTGTTAGTGTGCACATCCGCAGGGAATGTGACTCCCTGTATGCAGGGACATCTAACCCACTTTAGGGACATCTACAAAAAGCCCCACCCTTTGAGAGCTGAATAAAAGGGCAGCTTTATCCAAATGAAAAGATTCAAGGTTTACATTCTGCATGTAGACATTTGAATGATGTTTTTAGTAAGGACAGAAATGTGAATATCCTGGTCCTCTTGAGAGTATGTTTCTTTGATTTGCCGACCTATTAAGCAAATTCTGACCGAAGAGGATGGTTGCAAAAAAAAATACTTTTAACTGAGGTTGGTTTGATTTTCGCTTTTTATTGAAGTTACTTTAACTCAAATCAGACGTAAAGCATAAAAATGAAAGATGCCTTAAGCATTGCTATGTGTTTTGTTTTGGCTTATATTTTGCTATTCAAGCCCTGGTTTTGTTCTTGGATCAAGGACTATTTTCGGCAGTTCTGACTCAGACTGATTCACACCAGGTCTTTGAAATATCGAGTCTTTTACATGCAGTACACCTGAGCTCCCTCCCTCTCTCCCTCCCTCCACTGAATGGACTATTGGAGCCAGAGGCTGTGACCGTTCCTCGTACAGCCATCAAGGGACCTATTCCCATTTAATGGTGGACCTTTCTCGACTTTGCTCCCTCAGTGGATGCTATTTCTCACCTCTCTGTGCCGCTGGCTCTACCTCAGGCCACACACACGTTCCTGAGGGGCTAATCACACTGACGGAGGAGTGAAGAGCTTTGCCAAGATGCTTTGTCTCTGGAGATGGCAGATTGAATCAATTGTAATCATCTGCAGGCATATCTCGTGAAAAAGAAAAATACAAAACAGAATATTTAACAGAATTTTGAAGCATTTATTTAGCTGCTGAATACCCTAAAGTATAATTAAGATCTTTTACATGCAATCTTTAAAAATGTCAAAGGAAAGTTGCCTCAGGAAGGGGCATGTGTTAACCGATTGTTTTGTGTGTTTTTTGTCCTTCACTCATTTAGAAGCTTTAGTCTTTGAAAGTCTGAACACATTTCTTTCACTATTTTGGAATTTTAACCACTAAAACATTGTTGATCAACTTCTAAATGTGTCGCTCTGCAGATTTAAAACTGTTGGTATTTAAGTGAATTTGATATATTTTGAATCCTTTAGCAGTTACTTCAAAATAAAAACTTTCTGTCTCTCTTTATTTTCTTTGTATTTAAAAAATAAAAGCATGGTTCTTACTAAAGATAAAAGAACTTTATACGACTTAAAACTTAATTAAAAAGACTATATATCAACACTGAAAATGATTTTCTATGCATACTTACTTTTGTCCAGAAGTGAGAATACAAGATTTCTCCAGTCAAATGACCTACATTTTGAAATTGAAATGGATAATAGGTGAGTGGGATGCAACTTCAATTTCACTCATACACACTCATTCATCCAAAATTAATTGTGAAAAGGAGTAAACCCCCTCTTTAGGTGAACATAAATGTAGATGAGATGCATGCATTATTATTATGTTAATGGTAATAAATAAATGCAGTTTAAAATTAAATCAATTTTACTCAATGAAATATTGTTTTCACTCACCGGTGTGTAATATTCTTCTGTCGTAAGTGTGATGCGGTGTGTTTCAAACATTAACGCGTTTTATGGCAGGAGTCCTTTATAAGTTCTCCACCATGTCCTAGATTTGACGCTGACCAGGAGGGGAGGATCTTCTGCAGTATTTTTGATGTCCTGAGGGAATAGGGCCTCTCTAAGTTGTGTGTTTGTTATTGTGATGCCTCCAAGTGCTCTACACCTCGACTTCTCAGTCATTTCAAAACAAAAAAAACAGCTTCACAACATATCAGTCTCAGGAGGTTTTGAATCAATGAAATCAATTCTAACTCTTAAAAGGACAAAACAGAAAGAAAAGAAAATCCAATACTTTACAATTAATGTAAAAAAATACAAGTGGTTTTCCTCTGTAATGCAATGTAATGTAGATTAAACTGGCTCACTGTTCACCTTCTAACACTGCTTACAGATAGATGAATCACTACTAACAATGTCATAGTAACTCAAGCTACTTCACTTTTTTTATTGTTGGCTCAGAGCACATTTCATTTCTCTATTCTCATACTTGTTCTAATGCATGAACTTTACTTACTGTGGAGTATATCTGTGTTGCCCTATTTTTTTTTTTTGTTCTTAAGTAAGGGAGCTGTTTACGTCTTCCACTCCTGCCAGAGGTTATAAAAACGAGTACCGCTCTCTCGCTCCCTTGTCTCCTGGGTCGTCAGTCTGGGCTTGACAGGTGGATTCAGGGAGCATCATGGGACCGGTCTGGCTATGATGCTGTGGGTTTCCTCCAACGATATGTGTCATCATCACTCACTTCATCCTTCCCGTCCTGTTACAAGAGAAGATGAACACACATGCATAAGGAAAATATAAATGTCAGTAACGTCTTGTTTGGTCAAAAGCACACCTTATAATCACTTTATTTGAAATCACACAGCCTGAACAGAGCTTGTAGAGTCCATCTGAAGTGTTCATCAGTTCACAACTTAATATGATATGAATGTTAAAATATATAGAGTTTGAATGGTGTGAAGTCTTTGTGTGAGCCTGTGTCAGAGTGTATTTAGATAGATTGTTTTACAAGGCCCTTAATTCAATTTTAGTCCCTGCTTGGGTGACTATGAACCCCGTTCCCATGGAAACACAAAGAAAAAATGCCACCTGATATATTTTCTTATTGATGTGAAAATGACCGGACAAAACAGTCAAACAGAATGTGGTAGTCTTATTAGGTTGCATTTACTCTTTCTGGTCTCTGGGGGCAGTAGTGGTCTATGCTTCATTCGAGATAACTCAGTGAGGAGAGCAAGGTTTCACTTAGTTATAAAATAACGTTATGTTTAGGCTACACAATGTTTAAATTCCCCCAGGGCAGTCTGAGATTGGTCAGGTTGTATACATTTTTTTAACCAATATATTTTTTCCTTTCAGCTGTTTCATTTGTTTTGGACTTTTGTATCTGCTTTTGAATTTGCAGCGTTTTTCTTAAAGAGCCCATATTATGCTCTTTTAGGGGTTCGTATCTTTAATCTATGTACCTACTTTTGTACGTTCACAATAGATAAAGTTCATAAAAAGTGTCTGTTTTCATGTACTGCTCCTCCTTGCTCCCTCTACGCTCTGAGTCTGTCAGCTATAGGTCTGCCGATCCGCTCTGTCGTTATTGGTCAGTTGCTCAGCACGCCTTTCGGAAATTTCAACATGAGCTGCAGGGCTTGCCACAACGAGCCAATGGGCTTAAATCAGTGATCTCACACTGACAATGACGTCGGACTGATGCTCGGCTAGAACCGAGCATTACATGCAGTAGTAGAGGAACTTGGGCCCCTAAAAGTTGAGATACCCCTACCCGAGGTAGAACAAAGCACAACCATATTTTTTCATAACTTGAACATATCTAGTTTATGAAACGGATGGTTGTATAAAAATATTTTACTGCAAAATAACTTTTTTTGGATGTTTTATGCATCTTACCAAAAAATGAAAATAGGTAAAAATTAAGGCTTCTCCAAAAGGGACAGCTCTAGCCTTATCATGTGTATCTCTGGGAATCAGAATCAGAATTTCACCAAATGTGGACAGGATGTTCACGGATAGTTATTAGTAACAATCAAGCAAAGTTTTTATCAATACCATTTTCAATTTTGGAATTCTTCACACTTACACACACATGTAGTTTCGGCGGAAATTGAAACAAAAATTCAAAAGGTACCGTATTTTCCGCACTATAAGGCGCACTTAAAAGCCTTTAATTTTCTCAAAAACGACAGTGCGTCTTATAATCCGGAGCGCCTTATATATGGATCAATTGGTTAATTGGTTGATCCATACTGGTTGTACACGGCGCTCAGCGACACTGACTCGGATAATGACGAGAGGGAGCCGGGCATGTTGGATGCCGTACTCGCCCAACTGTTCAATTCGGACACTGAAGAAGAAGAATTCGAGGGATTCGTGGACGGGGAATGAACTGAAAAAGTGAGCTTTACGTGTTATACGTAACTGAACAATGTTGAGTTATGCACTAACGTTTGAATTAGCGGTATCAGACTGTGTTTCTTTTACGTGTTTACAACTGAACAAGGCTGGGAGATATTGTGAATATGCACATTAACGTTTGAACAACGTTGAGTTATTGTGAATGCACTACGTATAAAACGTAGTTTTATACGTATTTATATTTATATATTCACAATATCTCCCAGCCTTGTTCAGTTGTAAACACGTTCTATTCTATGCGCCTTATAATCCGGTGCGCCCTATATATGAAAACAGTTCTAAAATAGGCCATTCATTGAAGGTGCGCCTTATAGTGCGGAAAATACGGTATGTATATCTATATCTATATCTATGCAAGTCTGTCATTTTTTAAGTAAGGACACCAAACATTAAAATATGTAATTTTTATCTTCCTTAGACTGTTATCTCAACAAAAGTTATTTGACTTTTCACTTGAACCTATGCTGTCACCAGCCCCTAACAGGAAACTAGTGCAGCCAGGATTTCAGGGCGACCTGGTACAATGGGGCCCTATGGATGTGTATGTGGGAGGAGGTGGCCACAAACAATAGATTAAGACTTAACAAGACACAATATAATTGTATTCTGTAATATATATATATATATATATATATATAATTAAACATTTTATAGTTATTCCTAATACATTTTGTCTCATATTTTCTATCTTACATATGATTTATATGATGACACTCAGAATCAACTCACTGCTTTCAACAATATTGTCACCTATGACATTGTTTCTATTTCATTCTAAAAATTAAAGCATTGTCTTGCCATCAGTTGTGAAATATTAATGAACTAAAAACATTATTGATATATATAACCTTAAGTTCTTAGAAATTAATTATACTTCATGTAGTCTATTTGTATATTGGCTATACAGCCTGTTGTAGTTTTTTAAATGTATTTCAGTCGTATAAAGATGGTGTGTAGTCACCATATCTCCTGCTTTTAAGATTAACCCTAGCTACTCCAGAGGATACACTGGATGAAGGGATAGTTTTTATAATATCCTAAGTATGATAAAGTGTTAAAAAAAAGCTACAATAGCTATTTTTGTTGAATGATTTATCAGACAACCAATGGAGCTGGGATACAAAACAATTCTTTATGATGGCGTAAATGTGTGTGAGGTGAATTAGGATAATAATCATGCAGACATGTTTATAAGAAACTTCTTTATACACTTATTTTACCTCATTATATATAATGACATTTAATTTTAAATGGTAATTACAAAGGATGATTTTCACTTTTAGACAAAATGACTTTGAACCTGAGAGCTTAACACTGTTCAACTAAAAACCTGTGTCACACTAAGCATCCCCTGGAGACAAAGTTTGACCTCTTACCTCTTCACTGATCTTGTCCTGTGCTTGTGTACGTTGTGTTTACTGATGAAAATCTCCTTCTGCTAAGTTTGAACCGTCAAATATATCCCTAACTCTGAATCTTGGCTGTAGAAAATGACACCAACACGCTGAATGCAGTAATGAATAAGAAAAAACGTCACAGAAAAAAAAAAAAATAATAATAATAATCTTCTATCTTAAGGTCTTGTTTGCTTTTGTAAACCATTTAAAGATATTAGTCTAAGTTTCAGTGAGCTCCATAACCAACTAAAACAATCCAACCAGGAGCTTTAAGAAAACAATTGCTGAAGAAAATAACCATCAACAAGGTCAACCAATCAAACAAAGACACCACAAACAAATGAAGACACCATAACCAAAGCCACCACAACCAAATTAGGACACCACAACCAAATCAAGACACCAAAACCAAAGACAACACAACCAAATTAGGACAACATAACCAAATCAAGACACCACAACCAAATCAAGACAATGTAACCAAATTATTATTGATGATGATGGTAATGACAATGTTTTTTGTTTGATAAACATGATGTAAAGGTGGTTTCTATACTGATTGAACTCCCAAGAACAGCTGTCAATGTTGTGCTTTGCCTCTGTGTACTGCCTGTAGGCAGCAGTGTCCGATCTGACTTAAAGCTGTTCATGTGCACTTACTGACATTGTTTTCCTTTGCTCTAGATCCTCGCTTTTGTTTTACTTACTCTCAAATGTATGTTGCTTTGGATAAAAGTGTCTGCTAAATAAATTGTAGAATTGTAGAAATACATTCAACACAATCAAATACAGCAAAATAGTGTTTTTTTCCTTTCAGAGGCTGGGTGTGGCTTATTGGCTACTGGAGCTCCCTGCAATCACTCACCTGTTCATCATCTGTAATCACCGGCTGCAGCATTGGTTCAACTCTCCCAAGCTGCCAGATTATTTCCGCCTACACCGTGGTAGATCGGCTTCTCAGTATCAGTAGACTTTTTTTGTGCTTTGGATACCTGTCACTAATTATTCCCTTGTCTTCTTTTTTCCCCAGTGCCTCCAACCAACGAGCTTCAGCACCTCACCACCCAGCCTCTCATTCAAGCCTCACCAGCCTTCACAAGCCTCACTTCAATAAATACCCCTTTACCCACCACCCTGTTTTCCGGTCTTGCTTTTGGGTCCACTTAAAAATCTTTAAGATCATAACAATCCAGCCACAGACAATAGAACATAGCTAAATGTATTTTAAAACAAAAGTTGTGTGTTTGGTTATATGTTGTCATTTGTCTTATAGATTGTTGCATATGAATGTAGAATCTGAAGGGGGCTATTATCTTTGGAGGCAGGGCAATGTTGATCAGACGCTTAATGCTCATCAGACTAAAGCCAGTGGGTGAACAATTGATTGTGATGCCTGCGTAAGGTTTTGCCATCTGCAATCTTTTCTATTGTATATATTTGGTTGTGTTTTCTACATTTGGCTGTGTACCATTTAAAGTACAATATGTTTTGTGTAACAGATTATAACTATATGTGAACATCCTGTCCAGGTTTGGTGAAATTCTGATTCTGATTCCCAGAGATACATGTGATAAGGCTAGAGCTGTCCTTTTTGGAGAAGCCCTAATTTGTTTTTTGGTAAGATGCATAAAACATCCCAAAAAAGTTATTTTGCATTAAAATATTTTTATACAACCATCCATTTATAGACATGTTCAAGTTATGAAAAAATATGGTCATGCTTTGTTCTACCTCGGGTAGGGGTATCTCGAAAACTAAAGTCTTTTTTGGGGGTTTGTTCCTCTACTAGAGCTAATGCTACAGCTAACTGGAGGACGTAGGAGAAGCCGCGTTTCCGCGGACTTTGAATTGGTGCACATAGATGTGCCTAAACATGCAAAGGACACTTGGAAAACACACTAAAGAATATATAAAACTAGAAAAAGCATAATGTGGGACCTTTAAGGTAGGTTGTTTCATACTTTGCCGGGGAGTTGAACCTGTCGGCCACCGTAATGATGTGTTCTGTGTGTCACCTCTAAATAACAGATTTCTCCGTGTGTGCAAGTAAATGACACATTATGCAGAAGTTAGACATTAAAAGTACTTTCTGATCTGATCTGCTTATTGTTTTTTGTATCTACCCCTTTCTCTTTGAAATCCAAATAACATGCAACTTCATCTTCTTTCATCACAAACATTGATGGTGTTGCAAAGGCAAATTAGGAACCTACAACAACCAGCTCAGAGTGAAGTACATAGAGTTACACATTCAGTGAAGATCGTCTTTATAAAGAACCAAAAAAAATTAAATAGTACAAAACACAAAATGTACCAAATATAATCGTGGACAAATCTATTCTACTATGATATTTCTAAGGATTAAAAATCAAGAACCATTTGTTTAAAGCACTGACCTGCAGAACATTATTCTGGTCCGCTCATGGTTCATAAAATAGTAACTAAGATGAGTCACCTCCTACATAAACACACGGTAAAAATCATCATGCTGTTAAGACATTTCTCCTGCTTCCTTGCATTTCCTGTTTCAAATCAAATATATTGTTGTATAATGCAGCAGGCGCTGTACAGTAAGGGCCATCAGTCAGGATTCGACATCTTTTGTATCTTTCTCTCCAGTCAATAGAATAAGATACCACCACCATAAATATAACATGAGTAATAGTTGACACTGTGCAGAAAGTATGCTTGTGAAATCTTAAACACATGTCAACACCCTCATAGAATAATTCATGTATAATTCCATTAAAAGTCACAATGATAATGAGAGTAAACATATGATGATGGTGAAATATGATTCACAACCTGTGCAAATCAATGACAACTCTTTGATGGATTTCCACATTTTATTTCAAACAAAAGTATGCCTCACTCAGGAAAAACAGTAATTGCATAAAAAGATGGCGGCACCTTCTGAAAAAAGAGGGCTACATAACGGGTTGCAGAGGCTTCTCCCAGTTATACTCTGCTCTTAAACACAACTGGTTCTTAAAAGGTCTGTTCTTGGCAGTTGTGTGCCCTGTTTTTAACCATCATATGTCCTGTTTTCAACTGCCATGTGTCATGTTCTTCTTTTTACGTATGTGACATGAAATGGTATGATACGATACACCACAATAAGATATGATACGATACAACATGACACGATACAATACTACACACTAATATCCGATATGACTTATTTACAATATAATATGACACGATATGATACTATGATTTATGATCAGATACAATACCAAACGACACAACAGCTTTTTTATTGTTTTGTTCTCTGTAATGGATGTGAGGGATGAAATTGAACTTCTGAATTGCAGGAACAGAAACCATCATGTATCACGTCTGCCAGGAGACTGCAAGTTGGAAGTTGGAAAAAAAAAGTAAACCGTGGAGCAACTTCAATTAATCATAAAGCCTGCTGAATAAAAGAAGAAACAACACAAAGAGAGAGGGAGTAGAAAAAAAAAGGGAACACAACTTTTCCTATATGTCTTTAAAATCAATCACTGGACAGCTCAAGAACTTTTTTTTAAGGTTTTTTTTAAACTTTTGTTCGGTTTGATTTAATAAAAGGGTGTAGTAAAGTGAATACTTCCAACAGATTTTCTCTGTATATATGCAGCAGTTGTTTTAATTTCTGCTAGTATGAATGTCACTACAAACTGCCTGTGCTGCACTCCGGATGATAAATAGGCATTTGCATGTGGTGTGCAGCCACTGGAGTTTTGATGTATGCAAATAAGCTGCATGGCCTGTAGCCAAAATAAAAAGAATGGGCATCCCACCAGCTTTATCCCTGTTATTACAATTATTCCACTCAACATGCAGTCAGTACCTTAATCACGACTCTTTCATCTTCGGGCAGCTCACTTACAAACAAACACTCATTTAATTTCATAAATTTGAGTTTCATTTAATTTCCATTAGCAATCACTTTTCTAAATGTCATTAATTATGACATTAGACAACAGGATGTGATTTGTAGTTTGTGTTTTCAGTTTTCACAATGCATTAACAGCTGTGAGACAGAATGAAGCCCTAATTTGACACTGGGTAAAATAAACATCGGGGGATTTGTGATAATGAAAGGTTAATCCAGTTTACTGATGTTGGAGAAACAAAGACGAGCAGAGTTTTGTGACTTTGGTTTTAAAGTCACTTAAAAAGACAAGCCTCTATTAAGATCATGTTGTAGTCATGCGTCATCTGGAGAATAAAGGGACAGCGATGTTTTTTTCTTCATCTTTTTATGTCTTTATTGGAGAGATAGGACAGTGGACAGAGTTGGAAATCAGGGAGAGAGAGAGAGTGGGGAATGACATGCGGGGAAGGAGCCACAGACTGGATTTGAATCTGGGCCACCCGCTTGGTGGACTATAGCCCGCTTTGCACCCTCACTAACCACAGAGCCCCGGGACAGCAATGTTTACATGAAAATAAAATGAATAATGGAGAACAGACTGGTCCAGATGTCTTGACTCACAGACACAGATTTATTTAACTCAAAGTATATATTGCATGAAGGACAGTGTTAATATGTTCATATACTGTTATCTTCTCTTTCTACTTATAAGACGTCATTGAGTTCTCAGTGATCCCTTTCAGACTGAGCCTGTTATTTGAAGTAGTGGCTAAGCTGTGTTTGGTTGAATGATTAATCTAATTACAGAGTAGATGGTCATGATTTGAGTCAATACAGCAATTATTGGAAGTGTGGAAAATGCTGTTTTTTGTTTTTTAATTGTTGGATATTGTATTTCCGAGCAGCAAAATAGACAAAATCGTGCTGACAAAGAATTTCCACTACTTACTGGGCATGTCATTGTTTTAATTTCGCAGCAATGACAGGATTCACAAAAGCTGTTAACAACTCTTTGCAGGACTATTTCATTATTCGAGCAGTCCAACATGGAGGGAGTGGTAGTCTGTCCGAAATTTACAAAAGAGCGCATCCATCTGAGACTTGAATTCATCTCTGCAATTATGGAGCCACTTTAGCATACAGGCAACATTCCAGTGAGCCCCAAATGTACGTGGAATTACAAAAAATACAAAGACCCTTTTGATGATGAGCTATAATTAAGGCTTTTTAAGCATTTTAGATGGATTTTTGATCCACTTTTTACAAAAAACAAAACACCTTAATGATGCTGCTGAATGTGTTATTGGAAGTAATGGATGTAAAAGAGAGCTGGCGTGGCTTTAAGTGTGAAACTATAGGGCAAAGGGGGCAGTGAAGGTGTATCTATGTTGGTCAGTAGTTGTGTGAATAGTCTGATATGGCCACCCAGCAAATGGCTATTTTTAAACTTGGGACATGGGCTGCTGGGCTCCATTGTGCTTCTGTATAGACCACAGAAATAAACACCTGCTACTGCTCTCAGCTCACCGTAATTATACACAGTTTTAAGTTGCTCTGTCAAGAAACACAGAGCTTTCCATCCATAAAGGATATATATTTATTCTGTGGCTTAAGAAACCATTTTTTCACCTATAAATGTTACAGCCACTCTGTCTTCATAGAAGTTATTCTAGGTGCATAAACCCAGCCTGCATTCAGTCAGGGTTTACTATAGAAAGAGAGTCAGTATTAGTGGTGCCTCCCACACAGGTCCGTGTCACAGACTCACCCCAGGGAGCCATGCTGGCTGTCAGAGGTATTAGAGTGAGAACAGAGCTGATAGTCTTTCAGCATGACTGTACTTCTATCAGCTCCTCTCTGAACACCCTGACACGATTACTACTGCTGCTGCTAGTGCTGATGGGGATCTGGCTGTACAACACTCAGGCCATCTTCCGAACACACTCAAAGGCATGAATGGAAACATACACTCATTGGATGTTCATATGTCACCCCAGGTTGTTTGGGAAAGAATGTGTGCTTTTCCATTGCGTCACACGTCACTGACCTAATGCCATTACACTTGTTCTTCCACTATGGACTCTTATGGAAGTTTATTCTTTTGATTTGCAGCTTATTCTGTTTAATAGAGCTGCTATATGTATAGCATATATTGTATAGTTTTTTAGTGTATTGTTACAATTTTAATTGTTGTATAGTTTACTTAATTCTTGCTTATAAAA